GCGAGATTGATCTTGATGGAGGCCATAGTCAATGTGGAGTCCAAGGTTCCAGGCGACAGAATACAGGTGGCCCGCAGCGTTTTTTTTTGTTTTTTTTAGAACAAACATGTTTTTCTTCACAATCTATATCTACACTATCTATACTTTCTACTACTACTATAGAACAAGAAATTTTGAACTTGTTTCAGCCACCCGTCATGACGTAGAGGCAATTATCAGCCGTTGATTTTTTTCGACGGACTGAATCGCTACCGTTTATTACAGCAAACTCAATTGATCCGTCTTCGGGATTCGCTTATGCAGTCGCTCGCCAAAAGGAGGCCGACCGGGTTTTTTTCTAGAGTCATCGAGGCACTGTAGAGCTGCACCTGCAGTTGCACACTTTGCGGCCTTGTTCGGTTGACAGGGATCTAGGAGGGGTTTGGCAGGGATTGAGGTGGATATATATAATCTCTCACAAGTCAAAATCCACCCAAATTCTTTCCAATTCTCTTGAGAAGAGGTGTAACCGAACAAGGCCTGCAACGTCTCGTGATGCTGATGAGAAAAGTTCTCACAGAATCAAAGGTCCTCTGTGGCTGGTTTTTGAAGTATCCATGGTGCAAGGAAAGAGATGTTATTTGCAGTTTGACCAAGACACCACGTGCTGCCGTATACTGGTACTATATAGTGTACCAGCTTTGAAGCATATGAGCCGTTTGATCTTTACTATCGGACAGCTAGCATTCAACGGGTTGAAATCCTCGACAACGTGGCAGTTTGCTTACCATTGGATTGTGTGATCCAACGGCCAACATCCCTGGGATTCACGGTAGGAGTTAGTGTTGCACTGTCCTGCTGTCTGCTGTGTCAGGTGGCAGGCTTTTGTTGAGTAAAATACTACTCAGAAAATCAGGAGTCTTCTAGGCGCCTTGGACCATGGCAATGCCTACAGAGCAGAGCCCAGATAAAATATAAAAAAACTAACGTGCTCCGCTGAGTTGAAGGGAATGATGTACTAGAATGAAGGGTTTGATACAATTTGCCTTAAAAGGAAAATCTACAAAGGAACAATAGAAAATGCATGTAGGCATGAAAGAAAGTGTATCACAAATTTAACAAGTCCGGATGCATGTCCTGATAAAATCAGTCTCGATGCGTATGTCCTTGCAAGCTTAAAACACGAGATAATTAAATATTGTGCATGTAGAAAATAAATAAGAACCTTCAAAAATAAAATAAATTTAGATTGTATTTTGAACAAATTTCTATTCTCGACTGTTCTAGAACTTTTATTTCTTAATGAGCCGAGTTAAACACACAGTGAGCCCCTAAAAAAATTATAAATCTAGCCAATTTTGCATATAGTGCATCTACCCGATGCCTATTGAAGTATTGAGTATATGTGCATCTACCCAATGTCCAGATTTTGTTACTACCCCAAGATGTCACATCTATTTCTCCCTAAGGAAAAAGATGTCACATCTATTTTTGATGGCATAGTTGATAAATTATCATGAAATTATGAAAAGTATTCACTGCTAGAGTAAGTTTTCTTAATGCAATTAATGACCGGTTGACAATTGAACCCAAATTTTCCCATTATTTGATTATCCATAGTAGTGCGAAAAGGAAGCCTGGAGTAAGAGTGGTGTTGAGTTTCTCGTCTCTTTGCCCAGTTGACACTACATATGAAGCATGTGCTGTTTGCTAATAGTAGTAACATACAACTCACATGGCTTCTTTCTGAAACAGTCCGGAGAGACAACACACAAGAAATTTACATCACCATCACCAAAGAATCCAACCGCCGCTGTCGCCGAAGCGTTCGCCGGAGGAGAGAGACATAGGCCTCCAACTTGCCAAGATCCAAAATAGTGTCATAGCAGTCAAGCTGCGTTATGAGCCTCTGAACACGCGCCATCACAAATAGTGACGCACATGTCTGGAGAGGAAGAAATAATGCAACGCACGCGGAACTCAGCAACATTTTTTAGGGTCTGAGCAAAATATTAAAGCATGATGCCTTAAGATGTCTATCTAAAAAAAAGCGTGATGCCTTTGGATTTTGGAGAGGTACTACTAAAATTAACAGTTGACGACTAATGAGTTGAGATCAAAGTTGTAAGATCAAGAAAAAATATTGTGCCCGGTGATATTCATCCAATGGCCCAAAATAGATCGAACATTATTCATCTTTCACCCCCTCCTCTTCGCGCAGCCGCCAACCTATGCGTCCCAACCTGCCTACGTCCGCCCCTCCCCTATAGCCGGCGGGCGCTACCACGCGCCGTCTTACCCTCCCCCTCGACGCAGACCCGACACTGAGGGGGGCATGGGCGGCCACCCCAGGATGTGTTGCTTCGTGGATGGAAAACGATACTGCCATGCTGGCCCACGTTACTGCGTACAGGGCCTGGCTATTGTGTAGTGCTTGCCAATCAAATCGATCTCGATTTCGACCACCTCCTGTGAGTGTCGTCCAACAGCCGTCTGACTGCCCCGCGTTGTCACGCCTACAATCATTATCGCCTTCGTTGATGAAGTTCCGTCACAGCGTTCAACTTGTACCGTTTGCGGGGGGAGCACCCCCTGTGTCGTTGTGCCAAGTAGGCGACTTCAGTCTCCACTTGGGCCTCCACTCTGACAGAAGCCCACCCTTCGTTTAGAATTCCATCGCCCCATCTAGATCATTCGCACCATGATCCGATCCTCGCACCCATAGCTCATAATACCACTTGCTACCTCTTGAGCGTGCGTTGATTTTCTCTTAAAGAGGAAACGGTGATGCAGCAAATAGGGGCAAAGACAAGGGGACGAGCAGGGGCCAGGCCCCCCAACGATCGAGAATTGCTTTAGCACGAGCTGATAATTAGCGATAAATTTGGTTGATTTCATGTACTTGGCCCCCCTGACACGAACAAGCAAAAGATAAAGGCCCATAAGAAGGCCCAAGACCATGAAGTCCCTTCGTAGAGTCCTACACCAGAGTCATTAAGATGCAATTAGCGCCGCCGGCTGCCGCTAGGTTATTTCCTGCCGTTCTCGTCTTCTCAATGGCTCCCATCTCTCCATCAGATTCGATTCAGAGTAAATCAGGCGATCCCGATGTCACGAGGGGCAATCCTGTAGGCTGCACCAAATGATTCTCCTGTGCTCCAGCTAACTACCCAAGGTTAGCACTAGTGGCTACTGTCACCAATCTCTCACAACTCCCATCTTACGTGACAGAATTCTACTTTTAATTTAATTTACTTCTTCTGATTGTAAGATCAATGATGCTAAGTTCTCTCCTAAGAAAATTAATAATATTTTTGATCGTTTGTTAACAAGAATTATATATGATAGGAACGCTATTGATCTTATTGAGAATTGTAGCGTCCAATTTAGATTAATACAAAATATAACTATGTTTTTGTTCTATCGAGGCGACAACTTATTATATCACTCGCAATATTTTTTACCGGCTTGGCCCCCTCTATACCTAAATCCTGGCTCCGCCCCTGGTAGCAAAATAGCGCAAGTATTTTCCTCAGTTTTGAGAACCAATGTATCAATCCAGTAGGAGACAACGCACAAGTCACTTAATACCTGCACAAACAATCAAGAACCTTGCAACCAACGCGATAAAGGATTGTCAATCCCTTCATGGTCACTCGTAAAAATGAGATCTGATAAATATAGTAAAGTAAATATTTTTGGTATTTTTGTTGTATAGATTGGAAAGTAAAAATTGCAAAATAGTAAACGAGATGCGACGTAAATAAAAGAGATGCAATATAATAAGAAAGTGACCTGAGGGCCATAAGTTTCACTAGTGGCTTCTCTCAAGATATCATGTATTATAGTGGTCAGTGGGTGAACAAATTACTGCCGAGCAATTGATAGAAAAGCGCATAGTTATGAAGATATCTAAGGCAATGATCATGAATATAGGCATCACGTCCGTGTCAAGTAGATCGAAATGATTCTGCATCTACTACTATTACTCCACACATCGACCACTATCCATCATGTATCTAGAGTATTAAGTTCATAAGAACAGAGTAACGCTTTAAGAAAGATGACATGATGTAGAGGGATAAACTCAAGCAATATGATATAAACCTCATCTTTTTATCCTCGATGGCAACAATACAATACGTGCCTTGCTACCTCTACTGTCACTGGGAAAGGACACCGCAAGATTGAACCCAAAACTAAGAACTTCTCCCATTGCAAGAAAGATCA